AGCATGGGATTAGATTAATTTAATTATGACTACAACCTAATTTTATATATTTATTAACATTTAAGTATATTAAATATTTAAATAATATTTACAAAAAGTTATAACATTTAATCACTAATAAAGTAAAATGAATAAAATATAACACTAACAAATAATACGAAAAAAATAATTATTTAATAAAGTAATTAACAATAATTTATTACTTTTATTAAAAGCACTAATATAATTAACCCAAATTACTAAATTGTTTTGTAACAAATTACTAAAAAAGAGATTAATTATTTTAAACAATGTCACATTCTTTCCTTATAATCAAGGTTTTAAAAACTGACACGGAAATGGAACCGTTGTGGCCATCGGTTTTTGGGTCAACGGTTCAATTTTCCGGGTCAAATGGTTCAGGCGGTTTGGATTATTAGGGCAACTTTTAGACTTTTATTAGTACAAGAAAAGAGAGACTATGTAGTTGTTGGCTAAGAAAGAAAGAAAGAAAGAAAGAAAGGAGAGAGAGGAAAAAAAGGAAAAGAAGGAGAGAGGAAAGAATGGAAGGAACAAAGGAAGGAGCAAAGGAAGGAAGAAGAAGAAGAGGAGGAGGAGGATCTGACTTCACCAGAGATGATGATGGTGACACAACGACAATGACAATAGTGGTAGATCTCCGATCTGAGATCTAAGAACTAAGATCTAATTTCTCTCAAACTTTTGCAAATCTTGTTTTCTCATCATCATCATCATCTTCTTCTTCTTCTTCTCTCTCTCTCTCTCTCTCTCTCTCTCTGTTGTTTCTGCTATGTGGTCGGTCTTGTCTCAATTCCTCCCTCTCTAATCTCCTACGAATTGTTGTTCGAGTTGAACGAGTTGATGGTTCAACTGCCCGGGTTAGCGGTTCTCTAAGCAAGTCAACGATTTTTGGCTTAAGAATGGGTTAAGGGTGAAATAGAACTGGTTGCTTGAACGGTTTTTGGGTCGAACGGTTTGACCATCTGTGTCAACAACAGTTCAAAAAAATTGTTTATAATAGTTACCAATTTCTATTATTTTTTTTCCTTTGACAAATATAGAGGTGTAAATCGGATTGTGTTGGGATGGCATGACATGACTTTGCGAGCCGAGCCTTGGGCCAGCCATGTTGTGGGTCGGGTTAGGCCATGAGAGGCATATAATTCTAGAGGGGGTGCAAGATTCCCTCTAGAAGCACTAGGAGTTGGCACCTAACATGGCTTATCTCCTTTTTCCTCTCCTTTTTATTTGGAAACTAACTATCCCCCACTTTCTCCTAAATTATCTCTATCTCTCCCTAATTCTTATTTATCTCCTAAATTATCTACAATTTCTATTTATCCTCTCCCCCACTTTTCATCTATATCTATCTAAAGAGAGCTTCAATTAAAACATTTAACAATTATTTAAATATTATAATGAAATTATATAATAATTATATAATATTTATTAAAAGCACAAAAAATAATTATAATAGGTTTAATAATACTCATATTATTAATAATATTATATTCTTATGAAATTCATAATGAAAGTATGTAATAAAAATATAAATTATAGTTTTATGGATTATTCAATTTAACAACTAAATAATATTTAAAAAACATAAATAAAAATTTATTTAAACAACAAAATATTAAAAATATCTAAACAATTATACAACAAAATATTTAAAATTACATAATAACTTTAAAGAAATAAAATTTAAATAACATAAAAGATTAAAGATCTTACGTATTATTTAAATATTTAAATAATGAAATATTTAACATAACTAAATTTTAAATAGTTAAAATAACGAAATTATATAATAAATTAAAAAAAATCTTAAGAGTAGATAATAATTATAATTTCATGGATTATTAAATTTAATAATAATTAATATTTTAAAATTTTGAATAATGGTTTATTTTAAATAATTAAATAATATCAAAAGCACAAGAGTAATTATAACTAACGGGGCCCCATGTGATGCATGGGATGTAGCACCCCTCCTTGCCCCTCGCCCTCGTAGTCAAGACACTCTACCCCATCCTTGTCCTGTCTACAATGGCAGGGTGGGTTCGAGGCAAGGCAACCATTTCCCGTTGGGGATAGGGAATCCCCAAAAATTTCCCACCGAGGCAATCACCTAAAAATAATCTAATTTGTGGATATTTTACAAATAGGGTTATTGTAATATGGGGTATTTTAGCAATTGTATTATGATAATTTGGGGGTACATTATAAGTGGAATTATGGGATCTTAGGATTATAAAATATGAGGAAAAACTTAGAGATAAAAGTCAATATTAATTCTATTGATATACTAATTTACCATCAGGTTTAGGGCAAACTTCGCCCCGTCCCTGTCCCTGATTTGGAGCATAAACATTTCCCCATCCCCACCTTGTCTCTTCCCCATCCTTATTTAAGATTTGAGAAAACTTGCCCCTTTCGGGGTGGGGTAAGGTATTATTTATGTTTTATATATTATTTTTAATAATTATTTATGTTTTATATACTATTTTTAAATAAATTTTAAATGCTTTCAATATAAAAAATTGAATACTAAATCATATTTTATACATTATTTAAAAAACAAAAAATAGATTAAATAACAAAATTCTTTAGTAACTTTAATAAGAATATAAAATAAAAATAAATGAAAAATAAATATTATTGAAATAGTGGAAGTAGATTAAATAACTTAGAGGTATTAAAGATTTTTATTAGTTATTTATTGTATTTTATAAATATTTTTTCAGCAATTGTGTATTTTTGTTATAAATTTTCAATAATTATTGGAGATTAAACTATTGTTATTTGTTAGAGATTATATTATTAATTTAGCTAAAATTAGGAGTGTTTAAGAGGCAATTCAATTCGGTTGGAGATTGTTTGGTTAGCCAAACTGATAGGTTGGGTTGATTAATAAATGTTCAATTTTTTAATGTTTAGTGTAATTTAATTACATTAATCATTTTAATTTAATAAATTTTTATTAAATTTTTACAACAATTATGTATCATAAAAGAGATTACTAATTAACGCAATTTACTAATTTCTATAAAATCAATAATTATAGTTAACAATTATCAAATAATTCCAGGAAACTCTTTAACTAATAATCTATAATTTTTTAAAGAAATAATAATTAAAAAAATTAGGAAATTAATTTAYAAAAACATTCTCCCAAACTATTTAAATAATATTCCATTATTATTATTCAAGTAAATAATTATTACAAATTTTAGGAAATTAATCTATCTGAAATTATTTCATATTATTTAAATAACAACCCATTATTATTATTATTATTATTATTATTATTATAAACAATTATGAAAAAATTTAGAAAAATTATTGAATTTATCCACACCAGTCTAGACCACTTGGTTGAGTTCAACCATACTTGGTTTTACATTAATTAACAACAAAGGATCCACTTTTTATTAAAATTAATGTAATTTACCATAATTACATTAATTTACTATAATTACATGACTTTGATTAATAGTAAAGAATTTAGGCTTAAAAAATAAATAATTTACATTAATCATATTAATTTATTGTTATTGTAAATAACTAATTTACTATATATTTTTGTTAATCAACAATATTTCAATAATTTTTAAAAATTATCATAAAATATCATACTTTATTATTATTTAATTTAATGTTAGTTAATTAGTTATTGAAAATTATTAGAATTATAGGGATGAAAATTTTCCCTTTAAAACTAGGGCCTACCCTGCCCCACCCTCGAATGGGGTAAGTTTTCTCAAATTTTAAATAGGGATGGAAAAGAGATAGTGTGGGGATAGGGAAAATATTTTTGCTCCAAATTAGGGACAGGGAATGGATGGGGTTTGCATATAATTACCCAAATTAGGGACAGGGAATGAATGGAGTTTGCATACAATTGCATTTATAAAATATTCCCAAATTGTCATAATCCAATTCTTAAAATACCCCCAAATTTCTATAATCCTATTTGTAAAACGTATACAAATTAGATTATTTTTAGGTCATTGCCTTGGTTGGGAAAAATTTGRAGATTCCCTATCCCCGATAGAGAATGGATGTCTCGCCTTGAACCCGCCTCATCACAAGGGAGAGGACAATGATAGGATAGAGTGTCTTGACAATGGGTGAGGGACAGATAGGAGTGCCCCATTCCATAAATCGCAGGGGCCCACTAGTATAGTAATATAGATGGATTAGTGGGCTAATCGAACAATTTCTATTAATTGTCACTAACGACAGTGACCATGCCCGATGGAGGGTAAGGTTCAGAMAACAAAAATTCTCTGACGATAGGGCATTTCTCGAAGTTATGAAAATTTGTGGTAACTTAATGAGAAAAGTGAAGAACTTTAGATGATAAACACATCGAAGACCCTCCACGTCCACGGTTCACCCATCTATGCGACCTGTAGCCCTCCAGGGCAGGCTCCATATCTCTGGTTTTGATCCTTCCCTTCTTCTGACAACTGACTCCTCGAAGAGATCTTGTCACCAGTGGAGAGTCTGGAAACCAGAACTTCGCGCTGGTTGTACCTATTGATCCTGCTGTTTTCTCAATTCTGTCGACCCGCCAACTTATCTTATGAGGTGATCCTATTTCCTTATGTTTACTTTGCATCTAACGCCATAGATTAAATTTGCTATTTCGTTTAATTTGTCTGAAAAAGCAGATAGGGTTTCGGTTTGGTTCCAACGCCTTCCTATGTGAATTTCATTGAGCTTGTTAGGTTCAGTTTGGTTGCTTTTAGATGAGAAATCATCCAAACCTCGGAAATTACAACGTCGATGGCTAATATTTGCTTTAAAGTTGCACGATTTGCAGTTAATCCGTAGCAAATGCTATGGATTAAAGTACTTTTATCACCTCTTCAATTTAGTTGCTGTCTGTGGGTCTTCCATTTCGTTTCATCTTGTGTGTGTTCTGTTGTCAATGTATGCTGTTATGGTTGTTCTGTCGATTGTGGGTGATAGAAGATGAAAATGTTGGGTAGGTATGGATGAGTCTTGGTCTCTCGAAAATCCACAAACACTCGGTAGGACACATAGATAGGTTTTTCCCTACACAACTTGCCAGGTAGCTTTTGCTCAAGGTATTAACTTAACATTGGAGGGGTCCTAAAAAGTTTACCTTGACGGAAATCAGCCATGTTATCCCTTCAATTTCAGAGGAGCTCTAATAAAATAAAACAATTATTTTCCCTTGTTTAAATACAGTAAAAATGCATAATTTAATTATTGTTAAGACTTAAGAATATTGAACATAGATCTTGATGCTGCTCAATCTGAGGTAGTGCACGAACTGAGGAGACCAACCAGATACTCCGCGCTTCAAGATCTGCAACCAAGAAAGGGAAGTTAGAGGCCCGAGGAGTTGTCCCCGGGTAGATACACTGACGCTCAAGTCAGTAGGAGGTAGAGGAAGGGTTGGCCGAGCAAGAGGAAAGCTAGGCCGAGTATGAGGAAGTCTGAGAGCTAGAAGTCTGATGCCTTACCTTGAGTGGAGAGTACCTACTTATAGTCGAAGGTCCGTGTCCTAGTTGGACAGAGCTCCCGGGGTTGCTAGGATGGGACTCTCCGCCGAGGTTCTTGGGATAGGAGTCCTAATCCTCGGCGGAGTTGTCTTCCCTCCTCTCATCTGAAGTCATTCTTATCTGGATGACGTATAGCTGACGTGTTTGAGGGGATAAGATGGGGGGCCACTGTAGCGTAGCCCGGCCTGGGCCGTGGAATGGATCCGCATGGCGAAACTGGCCGAGCTATGCTGACGTGGCTGGGCTGACCGGGCGATGACTGGGCAGCCACGTGTCTTTCTGGACCAGCTCAGCCATGATCCGAACACCAATTAGTATAATTTATTGGTGAGAAAAAATACCTTAAATATATTGATAAAAAACCTTAAATATAGGATTTAATGAGAGAAAATGGGTCATAATACCTCAGATATAAGACTTAATGAATGAGAAGTGAATGAGGTTAAAAGTAGTAGTTCAAATTACATTTTCTGCCCTCACAATTAGAGAGAGATGTATGTTCCTGGCAACCTGGGCTTGAGTTGGGCCTAAACCCAGTACTGGCCTGGCCCACAAAAAGATTATGTTATGTGTTTATTATCTGCCCATTAGCATGCATTTTCATGTTAGATCTACCTAGTAGTGACATAAGAGGCCGTTGCTTGGTGTAATGGTAAAATCTTGGGCTGGCAAGTGTAAGAATTAGGGTTCAAGTTCCGAGTGGCCACTTTGTATAAGAAATGCCTAAGGTTAGGCTTCTATCCAGCCTACTCCTCCCAAGACCTTAGATAGTTTTGATTGATGTTGGATAATGGCATTTTTTTTTTCAGACTTTAAGGTGGAGGATTTCTTCAGGAACCAGGGGGCAATAGCTGGGTCTCCCTCTAGGAAACAAAACGTCCTAGAGATTTGGTCACCCCAGCTGGGGACTGGATGAAATTGAACTTTGATGGCAGTAGTGTTGGCAATCCGGGTCCCTTGGGAATTGGTTGGGTGATATGGGATGAGGATGGAAATTTATGTGCTTTGTTCTCCGGCCCAAATGAGCTAGGCGACTCAGTAAGGGCAAATTTGTTAACAGCAGTTTAAGGGGTACGGAACGCCAAAGAAATGGGAATTGGTAGATTGATTATCAAAGGAGATTTGAAGATAGTAGTGGGATGGTTGAGAAAAGGTGAGGGGGTGATTTGGCAACTCAGAAATGAGTTTAGGTGATTCAAGTGGTTATCAAGGGACATGAACATTCAAACACTATGGGTAAGAAGATCTGCTAATAACTTGCTTGGCAAATGGCTTAGCCAAGCAAGGAGTTCAAAGACAACAAATGTATTGGGCACAATTGGGATATAGTGTTGGGTGGGTTTGCTTTGTAATGGGTATTTCATATTCTCACAACTTCTTGTTGTAATCTTATTATTCAAAGAAATTAATGGAAGAATGATTTTCTGTGTTGYGGATAAAAAATAATGGCATTTTTTAACTAGTAGTTATATGAAATCTGGCAATTGAAAAAATAGACCTTTACTTTTCAATAATATGATCCATTTGTTGTATGGATTTATTGACATGATGTGTGGTTTTACCTCCTGAGATAGGCAAAGTCAGTGACTGTGAAAGTACTAAACCATACAAACAGCATGCATATACAAGGTGTTAACAACCAATCTAAGCTGTTGGCTGAGGCGTCTGTAAATGACCAGCGTTTCTTGCTCAACTTCATCATGGGCACTTTCTTGGGCCCAGATGTCAAAACTGATATACCAAGAAGGTCAGTCTTTGAGAGAGTAGCTGAAGGGCTGCCACAGTACAGTTTGAATGATTTGGGCTCTTCCTTTGTTAGTCTTTCTCAAGTAGAGAAGTTATACTACTATATCTTGAAGAATGCACATCCAAGTGCAATCCTGGAACTGCACTCATTACACATGTATTTAAAGGGTAAGCTACCTTTGCCCAACTCAGGTTTACTTGAAGATGCACGGCAGTTCACATGTATTTTTCCACTGGGTCTTCATGAGCAAACTACATACAAAGCCAAGCATAAGATCTTCAAGGGGATCATTCTAATTGAAAACCCTGACACTTCATATATTAAGTTAGTGGATCTGGAAAGGTTCAGACATTTAACTGGCATTTATGATATGAAAATTAGTAGAGAAGAAATCCAGCTGTTCTGCCATGGGTACAATACAGACAAGGAAGAAAATGAACCAAACAACCTAGGATATTGGGATGCAACAACGGAAGAAGAGTTTTCCAATGAAAATGCTCCTGGTTCTGCAAAACATAGAAATGTGCGGAAAAAGAGGTACCTTAATGATCTACTTCAAATTCCTACACGTATTCAAGGTCAGCAACCAATAGAAGATGTTCTTGTGAGGCCCTGCAACCTAGGTGGGCCTTCCATTGTCTCACTTGCCCCCACTCCAAATATGAAGCAGTGGAACTCCAAGATACCTATGGTTTTAACTGGAGCAGCAAAAGAGGGGAGAGCTGGACCACCTATTGGTCTTGTTGACATAGGAATTAGTAGAGATGCATATCTTTTCCGAGTTGCACTACCTGGTGTCAAGAGAGATCCAGGTAAGTTTTATTTTCCACTCTTTTGTACTCATTTATTATTTTCTGATGGCTATAATATTCTTTATATGTTTAGATTTTTGTGCGAAAAAATGTGATGATACTGCCATACTAGCACCACTATTGTTTTGGTTTCCATTTATCATACATCTGCCTCACCAGTTTGAATCCTGACTGTTCATTTGTGGACATCTTTCTTTTGGGACTATAATCAGGAATTTTAGTTGGGCAATCTTACGCTCTTAACTATTGAAGCAGGATTTATACTTGGATGGCTGAAAAAAAATCTAGTTGGCATTTAACAAAGAAATTTATATATTAGACTCCACCTATTCCAGATTGGTGCAGATATGGAAGCAAGGAAGTAATCCATTGAGAATTGAACGAGTTTTCCATTTCCTACACCAATTTCAACTTTTTTGGGTATTAGGATGTGGGTATTGTTTGTAATTTATTTTCTACTTATAGGTGTCTTAGGACTACAATTTTAAGTTTTAAGTTTCTGGAAATTTACTGTTATTTCAAAATTACTATTTATTGGTACCTTTTGGACTTTTTATTTATAGTAATTCTCCTAATCACTATTTTTAGTTAACTTGTGATATACAAGCTTTAGTAATTCTGGTGTGTATTAAGTTATTCTTAGTAGGAATTAGAGTCCTTATTGACATGTTCTTGTGGGTTGCTTATGGATTTGTCTTAGTTTTAAAAAAAATTAGAAGTTGTTTTGAGTCAGTTTCTTAGTCCAAATTGGAATCTATAAAGGGACACCCGAGTTCATGTGTTGAGTCTGTAAAAAGTCATTGTAATTGCAATTAAGAAAGAGTTGATTTGAAGAAATAAAGTTTGGTTTAGTAACAAACCAAACTTTGCTCTCTCTCTCTCTCTCATTTCTTCTTCTACGCGATCCACATCTTTGCTGTTTATCCTAACAGCAAGACTTCTCCTTTTGATTTCTTAATCATTCTTTGGTGGACAACAATCTTTCTACCTGCTTTTCTATCCATTTTCTTCAACTTTATCACTGAAGCCCTTCCTTCACCAAATAAAGCCCACCACCAGATCTTAAATTATTAGGGCCCCTACCCCATCATGCATCATTTGACATCAAAGAAACCTGCAAAATTCAATTTGATGAAATCAGCTACTGGAGGATTCCATTCACTGCATGCTAAATTCCTTGCTGAAGAGGAGCTTACTATGCTAATTTTTGGTTATATTATTCTTGGAATAAAGATGAAACATAGCCAAAGGTTTTTCCCAATGTGCAACTTTTATGGAGATACCCCCAATAAGTGCCCTTTCATTCAATGCTTTTCTTGGAAAGCTCCAATTATATCTTGCCCTGATCTCCTTAGTTCATCCCGTTTTGTGCTTGAATGTCAACTTAGGTTACTTCTTCAAATCTTCATCTACCTATCACTCTTTATAAGAGTAAAAGATCTTACATTGGTCATCCAATTAATCGCTTTGTTTCTTATGCCTCCTTGTCTCCAATATGTAGCTTTTATTTCTTTGTTGTCATCTTTGTTCATAAGGTGCACAAGATTAGAGGGGATGATGCTGGCAATGTAGAAGTGCACAAGGGCAGCAATTTTGTGGACTATATGGGGGGAGAGGACTGCAAGGATCTTCAAAGAGCAAAAGTAACTAATGAGGCATTAATAGAATGTATTAATATTAGAGCAGAGGTTGTGTATTCGGGGGGCGAGCAATCTGGGACCTTTTGGGGTGGGAGGGGTGTTAAGGAATGAAGTAGGGATTGTAGAAGTTGTCTATTCAGGGTCTATTAGTGAAGGAAACTCGATGAAGGCCGAATTATTGACAATTTTGCAAGGGGTACAAATAGCAAGGGGAGATGAGCATAAGCAAGAATAGTCATAGAAGGTGAGTGACTCAGTGATTTAAAAGGCGTGCCTAGGCGCATAGGTGAGGTGCCTTGCCCAGGTCCTAGGCGCAATACTTTCGAAAGGCGCACACCTAGTGCGCCTAGGTGTGCGCTTGATGCGCCTTAGCCCAGACATGGACCTTTTGAAAATTTATGCTTTTTTGCTTTTTTTGAACCTAGCAAGTGAGTTGGGGGCTCCACCCCCAGACTCCCAACCACGCCCCCCTCATGGCATCCCAAACAAGTCCATGTTAAGGTCTTAAATTTTGCAAGGGGTACAAATTCGCTCACTCACCGAAGCTCCGAGAACCCCCTATTTGCTAATGTTGTTCATTCATTCATCTTAATAAAATATTTTCTTAAAAGTCAATTAAAATTATAAAATCATTATTTTTTTTTTGTGTGAAAATTAAGAATTTAAGACCCTAACATGGACTTGTTTGGGCTTGTCTTGAGGGGCATGGCACAAAGGTGGCTCATAGAATCAAGAATGTAATATGTTTTACATCACATTAGCTACTTGAAGTAATGCAATTGAATACACTTTACATGTTTTATATGTTTGCTTTTATTTTTTAATTTTCATTTTAATACACTTTACATGTTATTTTTGTGTATTTTAATTTTAGATTATTGGTTTTTTAAAATATTTATTTTAAAATTTAAGTTTATATTTTTTATTAATATCATGTTTAATATTTTTTTGATTTTTTGCATTCTTTTTGAATTTTTTTGGCCTTTTTTGAATTTTCTGACATTGTTTTTTATTTTTAGCATTTTTTTTTTAATATTTTTGCGCCTTGCTTCAAAAAGGCGCATGCCTCGCTTTGCGCCTTGTGCTTTTAAAACACTGAGGTGACTCAAAAGTGATAATCAGCTGGTTGGGGGTTGAAGGAAAAGCTTTATGGACCTTTGCAAATGAGATAAAGGAAAATTAGATGGCTGACAAGGAATATGCAAGTCATATTTCAGTTGATTCCAACATTGGTTAATAGTTGGGTTGGCACCTTAGCAAAGCAAGTGGTGACTAGGCAAAAGCTTATTACTAAATTTCTGCAACCCCCTCTAAATAGTACAGTATCCATCATCATCCACCATTTCTCTTATTTTCTCCAAACCTGTAAGCACCATTTGAGCCCCTTTTCACCCTATTTTCAATTTCTGTTTCACTACTTTAGTGATTATTCAATCTCTTTAAGTTTTGTCCAGCCTACTTTGTTGAACAATTCAAGGTTAAACTTCAACCAGCAAGCTGTGGGCTGTGTGGGCCTGTTTCCATCTTGCTTAAGGTTCTCCTCAGCCACCTAATTAGTGGTTGTTTGGGTGGTCCCTGCATCAATAGCCATTATCTGAAGGATGAAGAAGATCATAACGGGCTTTTTGTGGAAACCAGGAGATACTAAAAAGTATCACCTTATTATTTACAAGACATGTGTTAAAGATCAATAAAAACATATCTTGTGCAAAAGAAAACAAGAGGGAGATTTAGGAATTGGGTGCTTGTGTTGGGGAACACTTCAGTTGTAGGAAAATGGCTTTGGAGTTTTCTTATTGAATTTGACAAACTTTTGTCTTTTGTGATAAAAACATTGGTGGATTGAATAGAAATGGTGAGACATGGTCCTGGCAAGATTAATCACTATACCCTCTCCATGAATAGAAATGGTTCAAGTCTGAGGGTGGCCACTTTTTGTGAAAGAAATGCCAAAGGTTAGGACCGTATCCAGTCTATCCCTCCCAAGACCCTAGATAGCTGGGACTGACATTAGACAATGGCCTTAACTAACTTTTCCTTCTTAAAGAGAGGAGGGAGTTAGGTATTGGCTTCATCTTGGAAAAAAGGTATTTTGTCTTAGAATGAATTGAAAGCTAAATTGTTTGGCATGAATCAATCTGGATAATGGTAGGCTGAAGGGATATATGCTAAACACGCTTGGTTGTCTCTCTTCTTCCTAGCAGATAAATTGCTTAGGTCTTACCTTTGGTGATAGTCTTTATGCAAGTGACCTGGGACCCAATTTTGGATGGATTTGGTAACCACCTGGGACCCAAGTGACCTGGGAACCAATTACATTTTGTGGAGGGTTAGATTACAATGGTTAGATTTACCTCCAATCCTTTGGTCTACTTCTTGGTCAGTTGCTCTAAAGCCTTCATGTCCAAATGAAGAGGTTAGGATGCTAAAGTTTGGGAGCACCTTGTTAGGTATTTTTTTTTTGTGAATTTTTCCTTTGCTTGTCAGTAACACACAAGGTTTTTAAAACCGAACCGGACAACAAACCAGTCGGGTCCGGTTCCCGATTTGAACGGTTTGGCGTTCGAACCGAGCGGATGGCCCATTCTGACAAAAAAATAAAAAAATTTAAAAAATAAAAACTGGCCAAACTGTTGAACAGTTCGAACGGTTTGAACGGTTCGACCGACCAGGTCAGCAGTTTTCTGACCAAATCAACGGTTTTTGGGGAAATAACAGTTTTGGGGTAAAACGGAACCGGTCACCTGACCGGTTCTCAGTTTTTCTGGTCCGACCGTCCGGTTTTGAAAACCATGGTAACACATTCTATTTCTAATGCATTCATGATATGAATGGTAATCGAGGGGAGGAAGTGTGCTTCAATAAAGAAGTCTACAAGAAAGCTTGTGCTTCAATCAAGAAGTCTACAAGAAAACTTGTCTAATCCAAAATTTGTCTTTATGTTGTAAAGTGATGCACTTGAAAATTTACACCTGAGATGTGCTTCAATCAAGAAGTCTACAAGAAAACTTTTTACAGATATGTCTAGAATTCTAAGTATAGAAAGTACTAGGCCTGTTTGTGGGTTCCAATGGTTATTGTTTCTGTGCTTGAAGCTTGTTTGTGTGGTATCTCATCAAATGTTGGACCATCCCTCCTCTATTTCCCTTTCTCTGTTTTCAATTTCATCCTTTTGTTTCTTGAAAAAGCTCATGGAAATTTTTAATGTTAAACAGTCACCACTACATGGATTTGAAAATTTGGAATAAGAAAAATGAATCAAGACTCCAATGTTTTCAATTTCCAGATCTCTCTCTCTCCCCCTCTCTCTCTCTTTCTGATGTTGGTTGCTATACAAGTGCTCTATAAAATTCATGTGAAGTCTTGTAATTCATGAACGTTGTAGATATTAGTTCTCAATGTTATGCTTTCAGGAAACAGAAAACTTAAGTGGTTGATGTTTTTATTGCATTTCCATTATCACCTTTCTTCTCTGTTTATATTTAAATATGTTCATTTTCATGTTTAAGAGATATTTTGATCTTCATCCTTGGCAGGCCATTTGAGTTGTGAAATTGAACATGATGGGAAGGTCCATCTCAGAGGGATGACAATGACTGGTGAGAAATTTATATTGAGACATTCACGAATTTTCCGGATGCAGACACAAAACCTGTGCCCACCTGGACCATTCACAATTTCATTCAGCCTTCCAGGGCCTGTTGACCCGAGACTGTTTTTACCAGATTTCAGATCAGATGGGATACTTGAAGCCGTTGTTATGAAATATAGAAAACTGGATGCTTAGATACCCAGCTTATTGTTGCCCCTATCTGAGGTAGATTAATTGTTTAAAACATGCTATGGAGGATTGATTTGTTTGGTCTGGATGTTGTATTGTGGAGAAATGGAAAACCAGCCTAGCGGAAAGTTTTATGGTGGAATCCTTGGAAGGTAATCAGAAGAGGTAGTTCCTTGTCTCTTTCTGTAGTCTGTTATTTTGTGCATTCTTTTTAACCCAATTTGTAAATTGCTAGGTAGCTGGTTATCTGTACATATCTATGTATATCAGAACAWTCATTACTTTATTTCCCTTTTTTCTCTCAATCTTAAAAAAATAAAATTATGGATTTGTACATGCTCACTTGCCTGCGTTCTCTCTCTCTCTCTCTCTCTCTCTCTATCTATCTATCTATATATATATATATATACCTACCCCCTTCCTATCTGTTCTTACATTTTCTTTTCTTTTCCATTCAAAAAGTTAGATTAGCTACCTAGGGGACCAACCTGTCTGTACTACATGGGGAGACCCTGTAGCTGGTCCAGAATAAATGTGAAATAGAGAACCATCTGGAGCCTTGGTTCATCCTCAGTTCCATATCTTTTTCCATGGATAGTGGATGTGAGAGAAATGCTGTGGATTCCACTTTAGCACCAAAATATTTTGCCAAGCAGTTTGCTTAAGGCTGTGTTTGGTTTGCAAGCCAGGTTCCCCTACCTTTTCTTTCAAACCAAATAAAGCCCAAGTTGGGTCAACCTTGTAAGCTGTAAACATTAACAGACCAGTAAACCTGCTCTGATATAGCAAAAAGGTTCCCTAATTGGGTCTAGTGCAATGATGTGAAATCAAGGTATTAGAAACAGAGCGTTGGAATTACAATTTTAAGAGGTGTATTGGGATTCATTTTGGATACACATGGTTATATGGTATAAAGTTAAGAAATACATGGATACGATAGGAAAACACAATTAAATCTCGAAAAAACATCAATAAATCAACTTTCAAATTAATATAAATAAGGTTTATAAACATAATTTATGCATTAGAAACATATGTTTTAATAACTTATGTAATGTGTGGATACTGAGATATGTTAAAGAAACATTGGGAAATTGTAGAAGAATTAAAATATCAATTAATTATCTTATCCTTTTAATTTTKCTTTAATATAATATTGATAAGAATAAGCTGATTAAATGACTTAAAGCATATTTCATTTTTACAAATTGTAGTATTTTATCTCAATGCAGCAATCTTTCTCTTTCATTTGGGTGACTTCTATGATCTAAGTAACTGCATCCATGTTGTATGTGTGTGTGAGTTTGAGCACTTGCATAAAAAAATTGATATCCATTTTTAGCATTGTTAATCTATATGGTATTTCAAATTTGAAGTGGGTTAGTATGCGTAATCTGCAACAATTAATGCTAGTTTGTAATAGTTAAGTATAGGTATGCAATGGTTTGTTCAGGTTGCATATGGGTTTGTAACAATTTGTACTGGTTGAGTATCAGTCTATAGTGGTAGGATGTAGCCGTGTAGGTTTATAAAAGTTGAATATGGTTTGTAATACTTGATTATGGGTTTGCAAAGTTTATACCAAGTAAGTATCAATTTGTAACGACTGAGAAGGGTTTGTAACGGTTGTCTGTATGGTTTATGATGCTGAGTTTAGGTTTGTGATTGTCTGTACCAGTTGAGTATGAGTTTGTAATAGTTAAATATAGCTTGTAATAGTTGAGCATGGTCTATATTGATTGGGTATGAGTTTTAACAGTTTGTAATAGTTGAGCATGGTCTATATTGATTGGGTATGAGTTTTAACAGCTTGTAATAGTTGAGTATGGTTTGTAATGGCCAATTATGGGTTTGTAAGGTTTGGTACCAATTAAGTACAAATTTGTAACGGCTGACAGTTGAGTAAGGTTATAATGCTAAATTTAGGTTTGTGATTGTACCAGTTGAGTATCAGTTTGAAATAGCTGAGTATGGGTTTGCAACAGTTAAATATGGCTGAGTTTGTAATAATTGATCATGATCTGTAATGATTCGGTATGGATTTATAACAGTTTGTAGTTGAGTATGGATTTTTAAAATTTGAATTTGGTATGTAATGGTTGATTATGGGATTGTAAAGTTGAGTATGAGTTTCTAACTATGAGTATTATTTATAATGCTAAGTTTGTAATTTGTATTTATGATTATGTTAGTTCAGTATCAGTTTGTAATAGTTGAGAATGGGTTTGTAAGACTGATACGTGGAACAATAAGAAAATAAGAGTTTCGAAAAATAAACAAAAGAAACTCCTCACTACATTTGTGCATCGGTCTGTGTCAATCCGTGTTGATCAATACAAAACTGTTCAAACCCATATACAATCATTTCAGATCATGTTCATCCATGGTGGTTAGGGGGGATTTGTTTTTTCTTGTTTTTTTTGAAACATTTATTTTTTTACTGTTCGACATGTCTCTCACCAAAAACCATTCGAGATACTTTAAACCTTGTGTAAAATAAATTAAAAAATTTTAGTTGTTTAAACTTTAAAGACTTGTCCTCCCCTGAAATTATGCTAAATACTAAGACCTCTCCTGGACTAATACCTTCCCTGCGTTAACTTCATTGGACAGAGACCTCCCCTCAGATGTGTTTTGGTTAAAATCTTGGGAAGGGCATCTTTGATGTGACTACTGTCTTTCGTTCTTCCAGAAGATTGCATAATGGGGGGAGTCTCATTGCAAGCTACAAGTACAACCTAAGATTTCAGCTTTCAGGAATTTAATATTGTAAGGTATTCAAGTTCCATTTGTTCTCTCCTACTGTAGTTTCACGAGATCAGGAGCTGATCTAATTCTTCAAATTAAAGACAAAAGTAGGTCCTTTAGAGTAACACTAACGCTATGTTTGGTTTGAAGGAAAGAGTAGGGAAAGGAAGGGAAATGCAGGGAAACTTATACAAGATTTGTAAAGGTTTCCCTTCTTTTCCTTTCCTTTCCCTATTTTTTCATTCAAACTAAACATAGCCTAAAGGAGCCACAAACAGAAAAAGTACTTAAGGATTTAGAGGACTTTTTTTCCGCTTTACTTCCCTCGGACCCTTTTAGGCTACAACTAGAATACCCTAAGCTATTATTATAGGGAAAAGCAGCAGAAACCATCAAAGCTATTATTATAGGGAAAAGCAACAGAAATTGTGACTTGTAAAAAAACAGAAATGATGGGAATTGTTCCAAGAATAAAAAGAATGATTTCTTTGAGATAATTTTGTTGGTGAATACCAATTCCGAGGATGAGAAAGTGAGTTTTAATTTGGGTTCTCTATTATGTGTTTATTAAGGCGATGTTTTGCATCAATGTCGTTTTCTCTCACTTGAGAGAAAATGGTGCTTCAAACAATACCCTCTTGTTTGTTACTATTTTTCCTGAAAAAATGTTGCTCCAGTCCATATCTTGGAAATTGAGAAAGTGTGGTTTGGAGTAACATCAAATTCAATGTTTTTTAGGAAAATGGTGTAATGCTACCAATAATGCAATGATGTGACATCATCTTGGATGTTGGATAATATAGATTAGTGTTGAAAACATTGTTCAATAGTGGTACTAAACAAAATCATTGTTTTCTCAAAAAACGCCTATGGCAGTACCGGTTCCAAACAAAAAATAACCGTTTTCTGGAGTTTTATCTCAACACTATTTTTCTCAGAAAACGCTGCAATGTTCCCAGCACCGATGCTAAACATGAAAACCTACTAAACTACTCTAATGGCCATGGTTTTGAAGTTTCTAGCTCATTCCCTTGTCGTGTTGGAACAATTAAAGTTAGGGAGCACTGAAATATAAGAAGCATGAAGCAGGGAGAGGAGTGTTTGAACTGGGAAGATTATGGGAAAATGGGATTTACTTCATGTTATTTATGAAGCTCAGGTGTGGTTATAATAGACAAATTTGTAGGGGTGCAAATTGAGCAAGTGCAGCCTGAAATTTTACACGGACTGGGCTTGGATTTTTGGTCATCAGGCTGGGCTTGGGCTCAAGAAGTTAGGTTTTTTTTATTTTTTTAGACAAAGTTTGGGTTTAGCCCTTAGGTAGTCTAAACTTGGCTCGAGCCCGGTCCAATTATACACATTCATACATACGTATGTATATATGTAACTTTTGCGTATGCATTTACATATATTTATAAATAAGTACATGTATATATGTGTGCGCACAAGGTTCAAAATATCGATACAGGGTGATACGCCAGTAGGGTGTATCGATATTGTTTTCTTCTTGAATATAGTTCAGAGGGGCCAGTCTACCCTCTGAACCACTTGCCAACCCAAAACACCCCCTGTAGAGGTGTATTGGGAAAGCTCTGATGCGACATGTATCGGTCGATACAGGCCGATACGTGTGTGTGTGTGTGTGTGTGTGTGTGTGTGTGTGAGAGAGAGAGAGAGAGAGAGAGAGTACATGAAGAAGAACCAAGTGCATCAAATTATAGTGTGGGTTGGACTCGGATTGGGAAGATCTTGTTTAACCTTAGGCTTGGTCCAGGTTCAGACCTTAAGCCCAAATTTTATGATTGGCCCTAGGTTAACTATAAACCCAGCCCAACCCTTCCGACTTACACCCCTACAAATTTATCCACCGAAAAGCTCTCAAGGATGCCAATTTTTTTAAAGATTATTTATTCCTATTGGGTTGGAATGTCTTACCAGTTTTTAGTGTAGTACATTTTAGATCCATTTATTCATGAAAGTTATACCCATGCATGTAAAAGGATCGGATTTATCTAAATTCGAGTTCAATTTGATAAGGAATTGATGACATCCAAATCCAATCCAAAAATCAATTAGATGTATAAGCAATACATCCGAGTTCGACTTATGGATTTTGGTTTTCATCTGATTCCAATGGACTTGATCTAGCCCCAATAGACCAATATAAAGCTGTCTTTTCGGAAGCCCAATTATGTACCAAATACACTAAGGGTTTCAAATTTTTATATCCAAATCTGATCCAACTTTGAATTGGAACTTATCCCATCCGAATCCGATTTGAAATTGTATATGGTTCATCTAATTCTAAAATAATTGAATCGAATGTTGAATCCGGCCACAGACAAACCTATCTATGCGAAACTCGCGAGAAATTTACTCCCTTTGGCTTTAGCGAAGGACTGAGAGTCAGCTCAAATTTTGAGCTTTGCCAAATTAAAGACTGCATTCTTCCTCCACCACCTTTGTGTTAAATTGCAGGTGAACTAGAGGTGCCCTCGTGCCAACCAGCTACTAGCGTATCCGTATGTCGAATTTCAAAGTCTATTGCCATTAAGAGTGGATCTAGTGGCATATCTGTATACCCATATGTCTTCTTCTGCCGAGTGTTGAACATTTTTTTTTTACACTTTCGAAAGTCGACACTCTAGAGAGAACTGCCATCCGTTCCCCACTTTCCAGACGAAAACTGATATATGGTTTGTTAGGAATGAGAAATGCTTTAGGAAAACCAAATTATGTCGCAGAATCTTTTAATCATTGCGGGCGTTTGGCATGAATACCGTTTTCTAAGAAAACGGTGYCATGTAAACATCACACCAGAGAAAATGATGCTTCAAATAACGCCGCCCTCTTGTTTGGTATTATTTTTTCAGAAAAAACGTTGCTTCTGACCACACCTTAGAAATTGGGAAAGTGTGGTCTGGAGCAATGCCATATAGTGATGTGGCATTATCCTGGACGTTGAATAATATAAATTGATGTTGAAAACATTGCTGCCAGCTCTAGTACCAAACAAAACCAATGCTGTTTTCTCAGAAAACGTCCATGTGGCAGCACTGGTTTGAAACAAAAAATAAGAAAAAATGGTACTTACAAATTCACATGCTCGACACCATTTTTACAAGAAAATGATGTGATATTTCCAGCACCAATGCCAAACACCTATATTATTAACTAGGCATTCCAAAATTCTAGATCGTCACAATCTGATCTAAGTCGTAGACAAGATTTTTCACAGATGCTGGGTCCATTACTAATACCTTATTCTCTTTTGGGATCATCTTATTAACAAGGAAGCTATCCTGTTTGAGGGTATATGGTGGCAGGGTTGATAACTTAGATTGAATTGATCAAGCTGAGCTTTTTGCTGTTCTGCAGGCTTTTGAATTTGTGCAGCAATGGAATGCTGGGGGTGTGGTTTTATCTTCTGATTCACAAAAGGTGGTAAGAGAAGTTTGTGTTGCCTTGGTGTTGTCATTGGCTTTTGATGAAGACCAGGGCTTTTCTTTTAAACTTGGCAATGTTTCTTACTGTTATGTAAATAGAAGGTATAATATATATGTCAGCCCATGCAGTGGCTCAGTTGGCCAAGGGCCACCCACACAACTCCCTTTCTCTTGATACTTATCCCACTGGAATACCGGTGGTTCAGGACTATGTAGATTTAACTGTTATTTGATATAGTTCTTTTATTCAAGGTTCATACGTATTGGAGTCTTCCTGATACGCCCCTACAAGGGGTGTTTCCGTATCATGAACTTTGTACCGTGCACATCACTTAGATGGACCCTAGAAAGCTAGAAAGCTAAAATAATTAGTTACAAATAGAAAATTAAGAAGAGCATATGAGATTTGTACTGGACATGAAATGAAAATTCGTTTAGAGAGAGAGAGAGAAGGCACAATATGGATAAACAAAAAATAAGAGGAACGAAATCAAATTCTTTATCCATCTACAAGGATCGGGTGTATTATATAAATATACATGTAAAGCTTTGGCTGCATTTGGAAATGATGCAAATAAGTATGAATGTAAATATGTAGAATGTAAAATGGTTTATATAAATTGTAAAATTGGGTTAGTTTCGCACTGACAAATTTATCTTCTTACCAAATAGACTTTTAGCTGTAATGATGCAAACATGAATTTCAATAAAGTATATGTTTTTTTATCAAAAGCCCACTTGAATGCAAATTTACTTTTTTTTTATTGTATTTTTTACATCTTATTATCAATGTAAATATGTATTGGTCTATCATTTATCAATGCATAAATGTAATGTTGTCAAACACATACAAAAGTAAACCAGAATACAAATTTACTGTAAACCGGGATCTATACTCAATTTACATTGTTT